TATAGGAGGTATAGCTCGTTAAAGTTTAGCTCATTAAAGTTTTGGGATTTTTAGAAAAAAAATCAGGTTTTACCACACTGCATTGTAAAAAAAAGACACATCAGTTGCAGACAAAGTTTAATTCAATGACAAAAAAGACCATCTATGGAAGTACCTTTAATACAGAACCTTGACCTGAAGGGAAAGAGTTAGGGTTAGGAAATGCAAAACATGCAGACATTTAAGAACCCTTCCTCCTCTACTGCAATCCTATGATACTGTTACTCTTCAATAAAAGCAATAATTCATTCAATTGAACCCAAAACAGTGAAAACAACGCTGTATATGGGACTATCTGCGACAACATATGGCTGATGGGGAAACTAATTGCTAAATATTGTGATGCTGTGAGGATTTGTCGTCTCACCCAGGGTGGCCAAGACTCCACAGGCAGTCCAGATGAGGAGGCAAGGACCTACAGCTCCAGAGTAAAGCAACACTGACTTAGGAGAAATGAAGATCCCTGAGCCAATCATTGTCCCCACGATCAGGGAGATTCCACTCAGCAGACCGATCTAAGAAAATACCAAGAGGGGAAAAAAATCTACCTTAGAGGATTTTAAAGCAACTTAATTAGTTTATATATGGATCAGATTATTCTTAAGAAACTGTAATGTTTGCATGTTCATTAACATTATATCCTTACGCTATTTAAACAGAATATTAATGACGACTTTTTTATCTCTCCCCATAAAACATGAATCTGAGAAACGTCTAGTTGATCTAAACTCTTATAGCTTTCCTTGTCGAAGCTCTAAGCTTAACAAGATCCAAACAACTGATCTTATTCACTGCACTTGGTCAAAGGTCTGGACTCTGTGCAGGTCAGGGAACATAGAGTGGACATGGACCTGACCCCCCCACATCATGTCCACTCTGTCACCCCTTCAAATCCACACTCAACACATGTTAGAGGATCTGTTCATGCATCCAGACATTCCTCCCTGTTATGTTTGTAATGCACCAGATCTGCTGTACTCTTCCCATGTCTGACTACCCATGATTTGGTTTACTGAAATGAACCTGTTTGGTTTATCATTTGTCATGGAAAATATCTGGACATTAACCCCTCACCATCTGGCAGATGTGCAAGACACAGTAAAAACAATAGCAACAAAACAACTCTATAACAATGGCCTACATCCCATCAGATATCGTTCTAACGTCAGTAATCATAATCAGCTTCAGCTCAGAGGGGCAATAAAGTTTGCAACAGATCATCCAAATTCTTCTTTAATCTTTACCTAAATCCTACATATCAACAACATGCTAACAGGCAATGGGCCTGACTATTCAATGTTAACCAGAGGGTCGGTTTGACCTGCAGAAGAATGCATTGTTAAATCAAAGCTCAAGTTTAGTCTCTTCCTATCAATAAAAAGCTGTTATAATTCAAGGGTTATAGAGAGTGGGAGACAGATAAGAATCTCACATGCAACTTCCAGTAACTATGCCTGAACATAACTGTGGCAAACAAAACAAAGGTAACATGAATGCTTTTGGGCGTCCAATGGGTTTGGATAACAAAACAATATAAGTTATTTTGTTTCTTTCTGAGAAGATAAGCTTTTTTAGCATATTTGGAAAGGAAGATGGATTTGAAAATTGTAAATTACCATGGTTTAGTTCGTGGACACATGAAAGTGTCCATGACTCATCTAGTGTGACCTAATTAGTAAAATAGTTATACATAAGCTCAGCAGCTCAGCTTGTTTTGGTGAGCTTGAACTCTTTCAGGAAGTCTCTTTCCTTCAAAGAATATTCTTAGATTTTTAATAAAACAGGAAGTCGTTTTTGTAGAACATTCCTCCAAGTTTCCACTCCATTAAGAAATAAAACAGCAGCGTTCCTGCAACACTTAAACATCCAATTTCAAAACCTAGTTTCTCCAAAATGTATCTCAGGACTTTTGAACTTAGAGAGTTTGGAAAGGCACGGTGAGCCGGTGATGGCAGGGTTAATCTGCAGAGACACTTTTAGTGGCACTGCCTGGTACGCAACACTTGGTCTCACATTACAGCAAAAAGGTTCAGATGATGGGATTGTGTGGTGTGAACATTTACTATGCCTTTTTCTCAGAGTCACACAAAGACTAACACTCACATCTTTTTGAAGAACAGTTGCCTTCTCTGGTGGCTTCTCCTCTGGGTGTACAGTCTTGTCAGTAGCTCCATTTTGTGAGGTTTTATTGATGCTGTCTGTTTCCATTTCTGTTTAAGAGAAGCACAAACAGCACAGCCACATATGTTTACACAGACTCTGTTACAAACACCTTACCTATTTTAAATCAGTTATGAGAAAATGCATGTACATTTGCTAATGTTAATGACAGATGGACTAGAAATTGCGATATTTTTTTATTTTTTTTTTTTTTTAGGATTTTTGCAATAGAATAGAATAAAAATATGATATAAGGGTACATATGGGGAAAAGTGTGTCAAGAGGAAAGCAAAACTGAAAATCTGGGTGGATCATTGTCAATCATTGTGGTGATATGTTTACATAAGGCCTTCCTACATGCTCGTCTACATTTTCACTTACCTGTGGTGAGTCTGAAATTGTGGAAAAATTGCAAATATTGAAAATAAAGTAAGCTTTTATGAGCGATGCAAACAGTAACTTTTAAACAGAGCATGCATAAGGAGAAATGGCCTCATGCATGCTCTTGCACACGTTTGATAGGCATTCCCTCTTGGGAGCGGGTACAGGATTGTGCATTTTTTTTTTTAAGTGGAGAGGGCGAATCTTTTCAAAAATTCACAAAAATTCTCCACTATACCTTTAAAAATATATAAAAATATGAGTGTGCAAATAACAGCAAAGATGTAAAGAAACCTTTAGAAAACAGGTCAAGCTGTTTAAAGAAAGGGGCTGTTGTACAAATAAACTGAATCAGTACAAAAAAATAATAAACCAGATCCATTTAGGAGACATGCCCTGAGGTTTTACTGAAGTGTTTAGCCATAATTAACTTATTATTCTTTAAGGAAAAAATGAAACTGTAAATGAAATGAAACTAGAAGCCTGAGCACAAACTCTAATTGGGAAGTCAGGATGGTAGCATCATGTTATGCCATACAGTATGAGCAAAGACAAAAAAGGAAAAGGACATAATGAATCAGTGTCTTTAGACATCAAGAAGAAGGTTCATGGGGAATAATGACTAAAAGCCTCCATTCATCCACATTCTACCACATGTCTGTCAGACAAAAGGTATGGTTCACCCTGGACAGGTCACCTGTTTATTGCAGGTCAACACAGAGACATTCAACCAGATACATAGTCAATCTAATTGTGATGTTTAGTACTACACACTATGTACAGTATGAGTACCCAGAAAGAACCCACACATGCACAGGGATAATATGTAATCTCCATAAAGAAAGACCAAAGGTGGGTATTTGAACTTAGGGCCTTCTTGTTGTAAAGCAACAGTGACAAAAGCATTTTCTTCAAAAAGAGCCGTTTTTGTTTAGCTTTGAGATGAGAGAGTGATGGTTTAAGTAAGAGTAGAAGCAAGTCCAAGTCCAGCATCGTCTGTCGCTGCTAAACCTGCCAATGGCACCACTGCTGCTTCAACCACATCAGCATCCTTAACCTAGGGGTCTACCACCCTCACAGTATCTTTATGAGCATCGTCATCATCGTCCTCTTCCTCCCCTGAGCCAGGAGAATCAAGTGCTTCAGGAGCTGGAGGCAGTAGCAGATGATCAGCAACAACTGATGGGGTGAAGTCCAGGCAACAGGCCCCTAATGCTCCAGCATCAAATCCTCTTCAACCAGGGTAAAAATCCCATTTGGATGCTAAGATCCTATCCAGATCCATCTGACATCACTGCTGCCAAGCAAACATGAATTATATGCATTCCATAACTAGATATAGAGACTTAATATCACCATGTTTTTTTGTTTTTTGTTTTTTTTATCACTGCTGCTTACCTTATCAAGGTTGCACTTAAAAAAATGAAATTGTCTAGAGAAAAGAAATTTGTTTTTGTTTACACTTGTGTATACAAAATGACAAAAATAAATCTTTCAAAGTCTAATGTCTAAGTCTAATTCTTCGAAGCTCCGAGTTCCTGTTCCTGGATCCTATTCCTCCACAGAAAGGTGAAGGAATAGGAACTAGTAAATGCTGTGTAAAATCAGGACAGCGTTCAGGCCTATGGACGTTATAACATGACAGAAATGCACATGGAATTGGAAAAGAACTATGAAAAACAAAAGTTAGTTTAATGTAGCGAATGGCTGAAGTTCTACACCATCCATCCATCTTCTTACACGCTTAATCCCAACTGGGGTCGCGAGGGGTGCTGGTGCCTATCTCCAGCTGTCATTGGGCGAGAGGCGGGATACACCCTGGACAGTTAACCAGTCCATCGCAGTGCAACACAGAGACACACAGGACAAACAACCATTCATGCACACAATCACACCTAAGGAGAATTTAGAGAAGCCAATTAACCAAACAGTCATGTTTTTGGACTGTGGGAGGATGCCAGAGTACCCGGAGAGAACCCACGCATGCTCAGGGAGAACATGCAAACTCCATGCAGAAAGAACCCAGGCCGCGAATCAAATCTGGAACCTTCTTGCTGCAAGGCAGCAGTGCTACCTACTGCGCCATTGAGCAGCCCAAGTTCTACACCATAGAACTTAAAACATATTAAGGTAAGTACACACAAAATGTGTGACACAGAATAAATGATATAATTGTGTTAAACTCCATGAGGTATGCTGTGCCAGTATGTTCTGTCACACAAAGGATTGTGGGAATCTGTATAGCTCTTTAGCACCAAACAGGAACATTTAGAGGACCCTATGTTAAATGAACCATTGATAGGAAGCCTTCTGCTTCCTTTTCCTACCTCCTTTCTTACTGCCTGCATTATTCCAAGGGGACTTATCATGGTAAACGCTCACAGTCTTCTGCTATGCTTAATAGTCCTTAAAAAAAAAAAAAAAAAGCTCTACCATAACAATAGCTTTTTTTTAGTTAAGGACAAAACATTATCTGTTTTTGAACATATTTTTCTTCAGTTTTGATTAATTATTACTCAGAATAATTTCCTGTTTTGAGACTTGAGCTCAAACGGTTACTTCAACACAAACATGAAGCCTTTTTTCATATTAGGTAAAAATTGGCTTAAGGGCAATGAAGTCTGTGTTTTAGATAAGGGAATCCCAAAGGCGTGATGTCAGTATCATAGGAAACACATGACCAGTAGGAGAAGCTGAAAGTGCATGTCGATAAAATGGCCTAAACCTGTGTTGCACCATTTCTATCGGTAAAAATGGGCCAAATTCCAGCAAATCTGTTGGAAAATGTTTGTGGAAGGACACCTTAAATATTTAACCTATCATAGAGTTTTTTTTTTTATTTAAAAAAAACTTATTGACATTTATTGTATATTAAAAGCAAATACATATTTGCATTATTCTAGTATCTGTCAACTAGAAACGGTTCATTAATCAAAACCGGACAAAACCAGGAAAGATTTAGCCTTATCTTATGTCAGACAGAGTGTGTTTTTTATAAAGCGAATGGAAGTATTGGGTTTCAGCACTTCCAACAGTTACGTTAACGGTTACTCAACTGTTTTTATATGTTTGCAGTCACTAAAGTCACAAAGAGAGATAAGTTTTACAAGAAAATTTCCACTAAGATGTTCTTTGATCAATCTAACTAGGGTAGGAACCAACAGACAACAGGGAAAACAACTTAATGAGATGTCAGCCAAAAAGATATATAAGTTATACTGTCATCTCCATTATTAATGATTTTAAATTCCTGATTTTTAGCCAGAACAGTGTTTCTGTAAAAATCCTCTTAGAGATGAGAAACTGCGCTTCATCAATACTAAGGCTGGATACTTTGGATCTACTGAAAGGGACTTTCTCAAGACTCAATCTTAAAGAAATCTGGAAGATTTCTTCTGATTCGAAGTTTAAACTTAATTTAAGGAGTAACTCTAAAGATATTTTCATCCTATCTTATTCTATTAACCCGTCAGCATCAGACATGTATTTAGATAAAGATACATTTTATCATTGACTTAGGCATCTGCCTGCCAAAAACAGACAAATAAATTAGTCTAAATTATCTAATATCAAACTGACAACGATAGATTACTTAGTCTATAAAATTAACAGCGAGAAATAGATAAATAGAATCAGAATACAGCTTCATCACAAATCAACTGAAAAACAAAGCTTTTAAATGCCCGTACATCAGTTCTACTACATAATTTTGTTTGTTCCTGAAACCCGAAGTTGAAATTATTTGTTCTAGCTTCCTCATCAAAGTGATTCCTCTATGCTTAATCCTAAAACCGCTATAGTTTAAAGTAACTTTCTAAGTTGCCTTTGTTTTGTTTTTTTTTCGCTGTAAGCAACTTTTTATTCCTGGTTGTAAAGATAGGAAGTCAGATTAGAATAACGAAGACTAAATTTATGGTTGTGTTGGCTAACATCTTGATACAGTTCTCAAGCATTCTGAAGATAAATGTCATCAATCAATGTAATGAACAAGTCTGTGAAGTTTATGACAACAGAAACTATTCTGGCAGACCTCTACGCTATGTTTGATTCCTTTTTATAACCATGTTCTTTGGCTTCTGTGTTTTGCAATTAATTTTTGTTTAGGAAAAAAAAAATGTGCGTACTTCACGAACAAAGTGCTAAAACATAAATTTGCTTTAAATCATATTTGTGTGGAGCAACCTTTGATTGTCCTATCTAAATACTGTTATTTTACGTTTTTAGTGCAACTTTTCACTTTATTATTAATCATTTTATTATCATTTTTATCTCTCAATATTCTTTTCACTGTGTGTTTCCAATTGTTTTTGGTACAATGCTATATAAATAAAGCTGCCTTGCCATATTTAGACAGCTTTTTGTGAAATCTTCAGTATGATCTTACAATCTAGGAACTAAGGGACATCTTTTAGAGCTAGTTGTCACAACAATCTCAGGTTATGCTGCAGTCATTTGTTTTTATTGGAAAATAATATGTACTAGTTTATTTTATTGATACCAAGAGAGAATTGTTGAACCCAGGTTAGGTTACTGTTTTCAACAGCTGATTATCTTAAAATCTATTCGAGTCTGTAAGATTCTGGATTGTTACAAATATTTACTCTAGTAAATATTTGGGCAACATTTGGGACATTTTGTCTTTGTTTGTAAAACTTTTTTTTTTTATTATTAACCCATGCACTAACATCTGCAAAAAGTAAAACAAAGTTTTAGATAGGTGTCTGTTATCGTACGATAGCAAAAAAAAAAAAAAAAAAAGTTAACTGAGTTTGGAATTTAAATGTAAAATATATATTCTGGTCTTTAGCAAATTACTTTATTATTAATACATTCTTCTTAATTCTTAGAAAATACACAGAGTCACATAAACTTTAGGAGACACATCACAGGAAGCCTAGGTGTTGATTTCGATCCCCCCACAGATAATATTTAACTTCTCCATTTGTTAATATATAATGAAACAAGTGTTTAACTGCTAAAGAAGCAAAGAACATCAATAATTTAACCTGGGAAATCATCTAATCTGTTCACTTACTTATGGTTTCAAAGCCCTTTGGTAAGAGTCCATAAATTTCCACAGCAGCTTGTTCAAAAACATGCAGCTGATGACAGCAAATAGATGATGCTTAGCCAAGGAAGGGCAGCAGGAAAGTCTGACCTGAGAGAAACATTGTGGCTCCATGAAACTGAACACACTCCTCTGGTGGGAGGTTCCTCGTTCTTATTGGTCATGACAGGTAGTCCCAAACAGAAAGGGGAATGGCTCACACCCACAACAGAAATGCATGAGTTATTACTGTGCAGTGGTGAGAGCTTCGATTGAAGCATCCACAGAGAAACTGAGCAACACCTTATGAGAGGACAATATTAAACAGGTTTGGTTTGTTGTTTTAAGTTTTATTATGATTTATTAACAGGATACTAGTGTGGAAGATAAAACACTCTGTATTCAATGTTTTTTAAACACATTTTAAAATTATTACTGCATCTAGAGCTGAATTTCTGGTTGATGGAGTCACAATGTCAACTCTGAACGTTTTCCTTTTTTTTAATACTAAAAACCCTGAATCACTTCCTTCCATTGGAGCTTAAATAACCCGACTTCTTCACAAAGGCTCTTTGATAGAGATATATGAAACCTCTGAAGTTGTGGGCATGCACATTTTGAGTATGTGTGTGTGTGTGGATTTGTGTGTGGCACATTGCCTTTTCATTATACACTGGTTTAATATATTGTATTTTTTGTAGTTTTTTCCTTTTTTTTTTTTTTACACAGTGTAATACCTTGACGGAGTCATGACTGGACTAATGATGCTGATGATTTGTTTGAAATTTTTTTTACTCAGGCAGTTTTAAAAGGTGACATCAAGAATTCTGATATGATTTTCATTGCAACACAGCTCACATATACAAATACAGTTTAAAAAAGGTAAAGTTTTCCTAAAATCAACTTTTTTTATACAATAATAGTTTGTATCCCTTCCAAAGCACTAGCTCACCTGCTTTTTTGCATGAGGATTGTTGAACAGTTGCCTCACAGGAGACTGTAATCTTCTAGCACAGGAACACACTGACATATAAACTCAGTAACCCCATGAAGAAAAAGAACAATATGACTGAGTCTCAGACACATTTGGGAAAGCTTAGAATCTGATTTTGTTCCCAGCCACAAAATGCTGCCTTCAAAGGACCGTTGATGTGAAAAGAAATCCCCATAATCTTTACTTCATCTTGTTTTTTTACAATGTGGTCTTTCTGTTAGCTTAGACCACACCTGAGACAGTGAAATGTTATGCTTAAAAACTTAAAAACAATTCTGTAAAGATTTGTTTTTAATTAAATAAATCTGATTCATGAGATGAAAATAAAATAAAAGGTTCTTGTTTGATTAAATCAAACAATGACAGCCCTCCATGGTTTTTGCAGCAGGCTGTGAAGCATTAATGAGTTGATTCAAGGAGCTGTATGTGATACAATTAGTAAAACTGCATATCTCTCTTATTGTTACAAAGACTGCACAGTAAGAATGCACTTACTGGCCACTTTATGTTGATCTTGCCAGAATCTGGTTGGACCTACTTAGTTTTTCAGAATTACTTTAGTTCATTGAGAATTAGATTTATTTAGCTGTTAAACCTTCCTAAAAGATTCTGATCCATTTAGACAGGACAGAATTACATAGTTTCCAACACCATTATCCCTGCTGGGGTCGCAAAGAGTACTGGTGTCTATCTCAAGCTGTCAGTGGGCGAGAGGCAGGGTCACCAGTCTATTGCAGCACAACACAGAGACAAATAGAAGAAACAACCATTCACACTCAAACCTAAGGAGAATTTAGAGAAGCCAATTAACCTGACAGTCAAGTTTTTGGACTATTGGAGGAAGCCGGAGTACCCAGAGAGAACCCATGCTTACTCAGGGAGAACATGCAAACTCCATGCAAGAGACCCTGAGTGAGGAATCGAACCAGGAACCTTCTTGCTTAAACGCAGCAGTGCTATCCACTGCACCACTATGCTGCCCTGAATCACGCAGCTGTTGCAGATTTTTTAGCTGCACATTGATGATGGCAATCTACTGTCTCACCACATTCCAAAGGTGCTTTAATGCATGTTGGTCAGGTGAATAATAGGGACTAAAGTTATGTTGGTGTATTTTTCATAAATTACTTGCCTTGCTTAAAGTAGCCATAAGCCATTAACCTTTTTTTATAAAGGGGTGAAAATAAGCAGCTCAAATTTTGCCAAAAAATATATCCCAAGCCAATAGACTACCACCGTCTGACAAGACAAGTTCATTTATGGAGTACCATTTATACAAAAGATAATTCCAAGAAAAAACTTTGTTTGAGCAATATTTTCAACAACAACAAAAAAGAACATACATTAACTGTTTGTACAAAATAGATTTGATCTATTTTGAATTTTATTTTGAGGTTTTGAGTTCAAGTCCCACATACTCTCACGGACTGCCATTCAGGGCAAGAACCTTAACCCCACACTGCTCCCCAGGTGCCGCACAATGGCAGCCCACTACTCCCAAAGGGGATGGGTTAAATGCAGAGGGTTCATTTCGTTGCTCTGACTTGTGACAGTGTAATGAGAACAACAACAAAAAAATCTATAATTTCATGTATTAAATTAAAATTCTGGCTGCACAGAAGGACTAGCATTACAACATATCTCATAAATTAGATAGAGATCAAATTTAATCATATTTAACTTATGTAAAACTAAAAGACATTAAATCAAATCAACTAAACTGTTACTTTGAAAAAATACTTAATGTTTTACTTTTCTTCCAACCCCCTTAACTAGTTGTATGTCCCTTCATTTATTGGATGCTTACTCCACTCTTTATTAATAATCTATGTATAATTGTGTTTTCAGTGTGTGCTGTTAGTGCTGGGAGCCGCTGAGTATTTCTTGCATGCTACATGAAATTGCAATAAACATATATTATCCTATCTTGTCTCATCTTATGTTATCATCTTTAAGTTAAACGTTTTTTATCTTCATAAATTATGTGAAATGGTATTGAATTAAATGTGCTGTCAAAATTAAAACTGCAACATACAGTTGTTAATAAAGATTAAAAGAACAGGTTCTAAGTAGCAGCTTAAAAACAATTGTGACGTATTACCATGGGTCTCTGAGGCCTCTGGCCTAACTGGACAAATGAGAAGAACAGAAAGGAACAGGAGAGAAGATATAATTATTTCCCGACTTAGAATAGGACACACAGGATTGAATAGGTCATTATTTTTATTTTATTTTATTTCTTTAATAGGGAAACATCAGACAGGGAAATGTGACCGTGGGGAAGATGAGACAGTGGAACATGATATTTTGAGTTGTAGGAAATATTTGATTCCGAGACACAAGTTAATTAGGAAAGTTAGTAATATGAAAATGAAACTTGACATTATTGATTTACTGAAAATGAATCAGGAAGTAGAGGATATCAGGTTATATTTCAGTTTTTGAAACAGTTTAAATTGTATAACAGGATATAGTCTTTTTTGTTGTTGTTTTTTCTGTTTATTTGTTTGTTTGTTTGTTTTTTTGTTTTTTTGGCATGTGGTTCACACTCCTTACCAATTGGTGGCGGTAATGCTCACATAACGTTTTTGCCAACCACAATAAAAATGTAAACAAGAAGAAGAAGAGGCCTCCGGCCTGGTGGTGGCGCTAGTGGTGCATAACTCTTCAAACGTCACTTCCTCCAAAACAAATCAGAAGCAGCTGACTGTTGTTTCAAACTTTCACAAACCGCAAACCTTTTAAGTGTTAACCCCCCTGATAGTTTGAAGATGAACACCTCTCTGAAGCAGTGGAAGGAGGCGGCCACTCTCATCCTAACCGCGGGACGCAGGCTCGGTTTGGACACTTTGTCATCAAGGACACCGCTGGAAGGCAGCGGCTGCACGTCACGCTGCTCCCGCTTCGATTACGACGTGTTGTTACTCAAACGTAGCGCTCAAAGCACATTCATGCCTAACGCCTATGTTTTTCCCGGCGGTAAGCTGGATTCCTCTGACTTTTCAAGCGATTGGTTGGACGTCTTTAAATCCTTTCTTAATTCCCCTGGTTTTGGTTTGAGGAGCGTTAAGCAGCCAGCGGAGAGCAGACCCCCGATATTTGCCACCAACCGATTAAAACTCGGCTCTCCCATCCCTGGAGAGGTCGCTCTGCGAATCTGCGCTGTAAGGGAGACTTTTGAGGAATCGGGGGTGTTGCTTGTTGTGCCTAAAACAGAAGAGAAGCGCCTCATTGAAAGCTTCCAGGACACATTTTGCAGTCAGCATCACAGAGCCCATGAACTGGATGGTGATGAGCTCTCAAAGTGGAGAGCTCTGGTGAACAGGAACCCCTCCAACTTCATCAGGATGTGTCAGGAGTTGGAGGTGCTGCCCAACATCTGGGCTCTGCATGAGTGGGCGAACTGGCTGACCCCCAGCAACAGATATGGGAAGAGGAGGTTTGACACAGCCTTCTTCATGTGCTGCTTGCAGGAGATCCCCAGAACTCTGGAAGATGAGAGGGAAATTGAACGCTTTCAGGTGAGTTCAGAAATCTATAAAAAGTTAGACCTGAAAACATATCCTACAGATGCAGCTGAGGTTTGCTCGTTCTAAGTGCTGTTTAATTAATGTCAACAACAACAACACACAATAATAAAACCACGCACAAACACTTTTAGACTTTGGGAGGAAGCTGGAGTACCCAGAAAAAACCCACACATGCAGTGAACCGGCAAACTCTATGCAGAAATCCCAGGATACAGATCAATGCCAGGACCTTCTTCCTGCAGGGCAGCAGCGCTACACTGTGCCACCTTGAAGCCTATCATTAGAATTCATCCGTCCATTTTCTCCTGCTTATTCCTTCTCAGAGTCACGGTGGGGCCGGTCCTTATCTCCGGCAGTCTAAGAGCGAGAGGCGGGGTACACCCTGGACACACTCACACCTAAGAGAAATTTAGAGATGCCCATTAACCGAACAGTCATTGTTGTTGTAATGTGGGAGGACACCGGAGTACCCAGAGAGAACCCACACATGCACAGGGAGAACATGCAAATACCAAGCAGAAAGACCCTGGACCAGGAATCGAACCTGGAACCTTCTCCCTGCAAGGCA